CAACTTCTTGGGCTATTTAGGGGGAAAAGAGAAGGCAAAAAAAACTGATTAAAGGTGAAAATCAAAGTAGAATACGCTGGTTTTCATTTAAATACAACCAGACCGGTAATTAAGTGGAGAGAGTCTCGGCACTAAGAGACTCAGAGTTGCTTTCTTATCCACGTTCGTAAGAACTGTATTGAAGATAATTCTTATGAGTTTTCTTATATTTTCTGGTAACTTTTTTTTTTTAATCAGGCTTCAAAAAGTAACTAAGTAGCTTCTTAAAGTAACCTGTATCCTCACTCAGAGGAGCATCTAGGTAAGGAAAAAAGAGTTCTTAGTAAAAGTAACACCATTGAATGGGTGGAAAAAGGAATGGTCTGAGAAAAATAATCATGCTCTCATAATTTTGATCCAATACCTTCCCGCTTTTCTGCCAGGTAAGAGGCTGTACAGGCTCCAAGAAGGAAAGAGGTGATCAACAAAAGTTTCATCCGGGCAGACAATGGCTCTGGTGGTACCCTCATCGTTCCATTTATGGGTTTCACAGAGATGCCAATAGTGTAGAGCAAAACCCAATACATAACATAGCATACTTTGCATGAAATTAATTAGGAGAGGATCAAAAATAAGTAAATAAAAGTAGTATTTTATGATGCAATAGGTGACAAGACAAAGGCATGGAGGTTTCGAGAATATGTTTCTTCAAGCACTCTTAATAGTCTAAGGCTAAAAATAGAGAGGTTGACCTTGAAGTTAGTAGCGCACGGTAGACATTAAACTGCATCAAGAACAATTTTACGTAACAACACTAGAAGAGAAGAAGCCTTGGAGATCGGAATAAAGTTGTGATATAAAATTTCCCTGCTTTCGTTTTGACTATTTTGAAATGTCAGCCAAAAATCTAACTTCTAAATTAAGGACAGTTATATTTAGAGTTACGAATACGCCGATTTGATGCTACACGGTTGGACAATTTTCTCGTCTGATATTTCTAATATTTTATTCCTGCGTAAATTTGATAATAGGGTCTCACTGATTAGGATCTCGATGAAATGACCTTCTACTAAATATTGCAATTATCCAGCTCTTTTCTTAGGGTTGAGCATGTATTCAGGGCAAATGGCTAACAGTCAACAGGAGAAACGAAAACGATTCTACGGAAAAAGACTATTATACGGAAGTCTTAATGAGCAGAATAATCACATAAATTATAGAGTTTTGATGGGAGAGGAAGCTTTTTTGGGGTACCATTATCAAAATATCAGACAAAAATGAACTTTCATAATTCTGAAAAGTTGTATTTAGAATTCAGTATGTCAAATTGATGTTATAAAGTTCGGCAATTTTCTCGTCTAATATTTTTGATTTCATGTCCTGAGTAGTTTTAATTACAAAGCTTTACCGAATAGTACTTCGGTGAAAATGACCTGCTACTTGGATAATGCAGTTATAGCATCAAAATTTGAACTCTTCCCCAATCAAAAAGAGTAAAACTGTTGTCACTCAGTTTTAATAAGAGAATCTTTAAAGAGCAGCGCCTAAAAGAGTTACTGAATGAGTTTTAATGCTTGACAACAACGTAAGGAGCAAACAAATTAGTGGGAACCAAGTGCGTAAAGTTAGATCTAATACCGGGCTGGATTAGTACTTAGTTCTACATTGAATGCATGTAACGATATTTCTGTTTATCACTGCTGTGTTGGGATATCAACAATGAAAATTATCAGGCGAGCATGGAAATCTTTCTTTTATACATACACCAAAGGAAGTTTTAACTTTTCTGACTGAGATAATGTTAAGGAGCCAGGTCTACAATTAATGACGGACACCAAGTGCTTTCGCTGGAGAGTAATTATCATCGATCACCGACGGAAAGGAATATCCAAATAAAGAACCGGTCAGTACGGTTTCCAGGAACCGATAAGATTTTCCAAATTATCCATTAAGTTGTCATTCACTTTGAAAGTGTTTAATATTTACTTAAGTCTGACTCTGGGGAATTTTTCTGATCATAAAATCTCAGAACTGAAAACTTAAAACGATTCTCCGTCATGCATTAGTAGTAGCATTTTCTCGAAACTTTCACTTCGCAGCATCACTCCGAGATTTTCTACCAAGGACAGTCAATAAAGGCATATCGCCCATGAAGCGTGAAGCTTTATATCCGTCCAGAACTTTTATTGACAATGACGATGACAACAATGACAATCTTTTTATTCACACGATTCAGGTACAAGGAGAAAAAAAAGAAAAAAAAAGGAAACTACAGAAAAACGAAATTGATAGAGATTATATAACTATATGTACAATTTTTGAATCAGTATGCAACAGCCAACGTAGCAAAGCTTTCGAGTTGGCTGCTGTTTATTTACAAGTAAAGAAAGGAACGCAGGAAAGGAATAATAATTAAACTAATTAACAAGGGAAGAAGTGTTATGAAAACGAAATGGCGATATTACTTTAAGACTACTTACATAGATATGATTACAAAGTGACTTTTAGTCGGGAATTCAGAACTGTGACTGATATTTGAGGGGATGATTTTTATAACGCTTTTTAAAACCATTAATAGAGAGCCGTTTCCAGTTTGTTGGTACCGTTTCCCAAAATTTAGAGGCTACATATACAAAGGTAAATTTGACAGTGTTGAATCTTACTTTTGGTCGATGAAAATACCCTTAGAAGCGTATCTGGCGTTATACTTGTGCAGGCTAGAAACTGTTCTGAGAGAATCATAAAACAGGAAAGGAATACTGGAATACTTGTTCAATATCTTATGGGCGAGTAGGCACGTACTCAGTTTAACAATATTATCGAATTTAAGAATATCGAGAAGCTTATAGAAAACTTGGGATGACTCTCCACTTTCTCGCTTTCTTTTCTCTATTTCAGGTTTATCGAAAATGATTAGACTGGACCAAGAATCACGCAAGATTAAGAACTGCTTTAAAGTCATAGCTGAAACTGTAGCTTTAAAAGCGTTTAACAAAATGTTTCGGGTTCAGTTGACTTCCTTGTTCTCTCTTTTTTATTTTATTTTATTTAACCATGTATTTATCTGCCGCAAACCGTAAGCTACACAATCCACATCGCAATTGACTAAATTCTGACATAAATGATTTGAATTTTTTTCATCTTTTCTAAAACGTTTAGTAGCATGCTCTATCACAACTTTCTTGCGATTTCAACCTTTAGTGGCGTTCATCTGTCAAACAACAACTGCATAATACAACATAAATGAAAGAAAATAATACCAGTTTTCCAAAAACCACTAAAGTCATATATGACTAAATATTGTGATACCAGATCGCAAAATAAGATAAGAAATCCTCAGTCGATACGTGTATCGATACGATAGTGATTTTCATCATGGTTGAATTTAAGCCCTCATCATAATTATTATACAAGTTCTTCACTCCAAGGAATAAGGTAGGGTAAAGCGGCGCCTAGAAATAAAGATCGTATTAATCATATTTTTGTATATTCGATGAGCGCATCCCTCATCGGTTTATGGAGCATCACTCAAAGGTTTATGTTGCACTACTCTGGCCCTCGTTTAACAATAAAATACTGTCGCAGTTTTTGACAGTGTTTAAACGATGAGCGATAATGATAAAAAGGGAATAAAGTTGATGAGTTTCTAGAAAAATTGTGGTGCTGCGTCTGTGAGGAGTATAACGAGATCATTTGGTTTTATCAACTAAGTTGATGATGTAAACTGATAACTGTTTCAAAATTTGGCGTTTGGGGCTCAAGATTTAATGTGAACCCCAAAAATAAAAATAATAAAACAAAAAACATTGCTTAATTTGTTACGCTGGATTTGCGTAACATTTCCTGTTTGTGGCTGTTTTTAGCTGTTGACACCCCAATTTGAACGTGATTTGTACTATAAACCTCCGTTTATTAGCAGTTCAATTTTGTTCATCTTGTTAAATTCCTGATGACGTCTGTGTGATCAGACGAAACCGGTCGAATAATAGACTAAGTTGACTCGATCGGCTGCTGTGTGCTGCTCACTAGTTTTTATTTTTTAAAAAGATTTCATTTTAAAAAAGTTGTTTCAAAAATTTTTTTCAAAAAAAAAAAAATTAAAATAAAAAATTTAAAAAATTAGCCCTTCGTCAGAGCGAATAGAGAAGTTGTGAGTTCTGTATGTGAGTTAGTAAGCAGGAAACATGGGAACATTGTAATGAGAAAAAACAAATTAGTTGAATGAAGACCGTTTATCATACCGTGGAGATTAGGAATTTATTCACAGATTATTTCAAGAGCACTTCCGCATATATTGGATTTTGATTCTAAAGTACTGGCATCATCCATGAAATGCATAACTGAAGCGTTGATGCCGCCAATAAAGCCATTATCTGCTTAGAGTTAAAACCGTTGAAACCATGCCGATGAAATTTCTGTTGATCACCCGTTTCCTTCTTAGAGCCTGTACAGCCTCTTACCAAGCGAAACAGCCGGAAGGTATTATGTCACAATTATAAAAGCATGATTTCTTTTTCTTTCTTTTTTTCCTTGTCAATGCATGCTTTTTCCATCAGTAAATTGATCTTACTTTTACTAATACATTTTTTTTTCTTGTTTAGATACTCTTCTGAGTGACGACAAAGGTCAATTTAAGTAGCTTTTTTATCAATCAAATAGATTTAAGGTTTGCTTTAGCTCTTATATTTTGAAGCCCAGCAAAAAATTATTGTCGGCTATATCAGAAAAGAAAATTTGTAAGAAATATTTCTAACAGATTCTTCTCCATCAAGGTTGAACACGTAACGTTTTAAAGAAAAATCTGTGATGGTTGTTTTAATTGATTCAAAGCTTCAATAAAAACTTGCACAGCACACATCCTTGTTTTTATCGCATCCCTCTATCTTGCAAGTGCTCGATCCACATATTGGAAGTGACTAGATAGTTAATATATCATAACCCTTTTTATTTTCATCATTTGATAATTTTCTATTTCCACATGTTCTATGAAAGACTTTCCCTCGATTTCAACCTAACTTTCCGTTCATTTCTCAGGCTACAACAATATAACTACGTTTGGAAGAAAAATGTAATAGATTTCCAAAGATTAATCAACAATATATGAATACATATTGCGGTACATAAATTAAAAAAAAGCAACATTAAATCCATTTTTGTTCTCCATCAAATACTTTGGCGTTGGTCAGTCAGGTTACTTAAGGCTTTTGAAGGCCTTGTTGGATTATAACTGCGATTGAAAATAAAGATTGTATTCATAACCCTTTCTGAGATCCAATGAGTTCATCAAAGGTGCCCTGAGCAGCAATCTGGCCTTCTCTTAACAATAAGATACCGTCACAGTTACTAACAGTGCCTAAACGATGAGCAATAATAATGACCGTTGAGTTTTTCAATTTCTCGTGCACAGTTGACCAGATGGTTTTCTCTGTATTTGGATCCACGTGCGCCGTTGGCTCATCCAAAATAACGATCTTACTTCGCTTAAGCAAAGTGCGAGCCAAGCATATTAATTGTCGCTCACCAGTACTCAAGTTTTCGCCTCCCTCAAAAAGTTGGTGATCAAGTTGACCGTCTAGATTTTCGACCAAACTGGTGAGTTTCACCTCTTTGATAGCACTCCATAGTTCATCATCTGTGTACTCCTCTAAGGGATCCAAGTTTTTCCTTAACGATCCACTGAAGAGAACAGGGGATTGGCCGAGGACAGAGATACATTTCCGCGATTCCTGAAGTTGAACATCTGTTATGCATACACCATCGATAAATATCTCCCCTTCGGCCTCAGGCATGCGTAGGAGAGCTGATATAATGGACGACTTGCCGTCTCCCGTCCGACCTACGATTCCCAACTTGTTCCTAGGCTGGATTTCAAAAGTTAAATTTTTGAGTACTACTGGTCCGCCTGGATAGTACCTCATGTAAACATTTTTAAAACTCACATGACCATCATATGGCCAGTGTTTTGGAGGAAGTGTTTTGATGGTGTATCCAGGTTCTGAGTCGAGGCGCGTGTACTCCAGGACTCGCTCCACAGACGTCATAAGGTTCTCAGCATCAGCATATTGTCTAACAGCTACTTGGGAGATTTTTGCCGTGTCAATAACATAGGCAAGCGCCAGACCAGCCAAAGCTGAGATAAATAGAAAGATTAATGGATCAAAACAATAATAATAATAATAATGATCATGTTTATAGATAGCGTAATTAATAGATAAACTTTGTCAGTGTTATCAGTTCTATAGAATTTTCGTGATTGATACCTGGGTTTTGAGAAGCTAAAACAGAAGCAAAAGCCACTGCAGTTGTTAGTACTGCACAAAGTACGTCAGCACGGAAACCAAGCCACCGATTACTGGCTACCACCATGGAAAACGTGCGATTGTGTAAATCTTGATGCCTGTAAGTTATAGAAGCAAACAGATAAGCAAACTAGAAAAACAACAAAATGAGACAAGAGTAATTATTTTTACTCTATGACATTTATGGACGTTTATAAAGCTTCACCGTTAGCTACCTGCATTTTCGCATTTGCTATCATGATACGGTCCAGGGCTCAGTTATGTACAAAGGAAAATTTAAATCCGTAGCAAAGTGAAGCTATGATAATATGAGCGATATTCCTCTATTCACGGTTCCTGGTAGAAAATCTACGAGTGATGCTAAAAGTTACGAGAAAACGCCACCAACGATGCGTGAAAGAAAATCGTGAGAAGTGAAAGCTTTCAGTTCTAAGAGATTTTTTATTCTGTAAAACTCTCCAGAGTCAGACTTAAAAGAACATTGAACACTCTGTAAGCGAATGAGAACTTTTCATAAGTTTGGAAAATCTTCTCGGTTCCTGGGAACCGTATTGCCCGGTTCTTGTTTTGGATATTCCTTTTCGCAGGCGATCGATGATACCTATTCTCCAGCTTAAGGACTCAGTGTCCGTCATCAGCTGTAGCTATAAAGCATTAAATTTAATTGCTTCACGCAATCATACTCACCTATAAAACTCTCCGATGAAATCGTTTTCTCTTTTTCGACTGCGAATTGTATCTAAGCCGATCATGGTTTCTGAAAAGTGCGATAATACGGGACTTCGACAAATAGCCTCGAGCCTCTTGAGCTCACGGGAAGTCTTCAAGTAATACCACGTTAAGCACAGAAAAATGACCACGGCTGGAACCGAAACAATGGAGAGCCAAATATTCGTAAACAAGGGTAGCAGCATGGCTGTGGATATAAACAAAAAATACTGGATGGCTGATAGAAACGTCCTGGGAAGTAACTCGTCCATGCAACCAATGTCTTTGGAACATCTGTTTAATATGCGTCCCGCAGGATTAGTGTCGAAAAATAACACTGGGGCTTTCAGCAAACAGGTAACGAGCCGGCTGTGCAAGTTTTGAGATGATCTGAGGGAGACACTGAAGAATATGACGGCACGGATCATGGCCATAGCGGAAGCACCGAACACTAGTGCAGCGTAAGTACTCAGTGCTGACAATGACTGTTGTTCCGATGCAGGTTGAATAGTAGTGAACCAAGAAAGCCAGACGTCGGGTGAAACAAGAAGAGCTAATAAATGAATAAAAAAAAAATTATTCGTCTTCCAGAACAAAAATGATTACGACTTATTATAGAAGTGTCATTTATTCAGAGTTGTGGACAAATGGCGTTATTAACGTGAAAGCTATGAGCGTTTTAGTATGCATGTATACTCCAGGTGATCTGGAAAAGTTTCAAACTACGGATCACTCAAAGAATATGTATTACTAAGTTTCACGCGTGATGGAGACATCAAAGATGACATACGTAGTGCGCAGAACTACTTGATTTGCTTGCTAGTTTAAATTCCCGTAAAGTTACCAATCAAAAAAGGATTTATCATCATCATCATAAACAAGATCATCACCAATATCCACTTATCGTTAATGATAGCTGTTTTTCTTTTTCTAATATTGTTCAGTGTTCTTTCCTACGTGATCATTTTTCTTGTTCTAGGTTAAAATTATCATGGGAAGTTACCTGGTATATTTCTCTTACCTTGCGTCATAAGAAAAAGAAGAAGTAAAAGAATCATGAAAAATGGATGCATTCCGGCTCTAAAATAATTCCAATATAAGGAAGAGGAGATATCCCCAGTTGCCATATCTTCATGGGATACAGGCAAAGGCTCATCGAATTGGCTTCGGTTTGCGTTATGACGTAAGCTAGATTCTTTGTTAGGAGTGGTGGTCTTTTTTTCCATGGCACTACTAGCATCTATTATAGAATCAATAATTACTCCCCTTTCTTTCAATTCGCTGTAAGTGCCTTTTCCTGAGACGGATCCGTTGTTGAGAACCACAACCTGGTCAACCATCCTAAGGTACTTTTCTGTGTATGTCACTAGGACTCTTGTTTTATTCTTTAACAATTTGCAAATGCACTCAAAAAATATGTGATCACCAACTTTAGAATCAACTGCGCTCAAAGGATCATCGAGTAAATATAAGTCAGCATTGGCGTATACTGCACGAGCCAAATTAACGCGAGCTTTCTGGCCACCACTCAGCACGACACCGTGTTCTCCAACAAATACGAGGTCACCATTTGGAAATCTTCCTATGTCGTTAGTTAGCGTGCAAGCTTGAATCACCCTGTTGTATTTTGTTTCATCGAAAGGCTTCCCAAACAAAACATTTTCTCGGAGTGTTCCAGAGAAAACCCAAGCAGTTTGAGAGACATAAGCCACATTTCCGGAGTAGGTTATGTTCCCACTGGATGCAACGACTTCTCTTGCAATGGCAGCTAGGAGTGTAGATTTTCCACTCCCCACCTCACCAGTAACGACTGTTAAACTCTTCTCCGGGATCTCAAAATTGACATCGTGGAGGATATATGGCCCATCCAGTTCATCAAATTTACACCAAAGACCTTCAATTAATAACTTTCCTGAAGAGGTTTGAGTAGATTCAGTTCTATAGTTACGAATAGTATCGTTGTCAACAGAAAAGTATTTATTAAAGTCTTGATTTTCGGATATTGTTTCTTCACTCTTATCTTCTGCTTTTAAGGGGCCTCGAACATAAAGCTCTGGGAAGTTGTTTTTAGGTTCTTGAACACGATCTTGGTGGCCAGGAGGCTTCTCAGTGGATTCCAAGCCCATTGAAGGGATATTTTTCAGCAAAAGAAAGTTTCTGATTCTTTTTAAAGATATCCACAGCTCAAACACCGAGGTAATAGCATAAGAGAAACGTGTGATGGTAATTCGAAGGGTGTTAATGAAAGCCAGAAGCATAAAGGCCGTGGTAGGTGAAATTAGATGGCCATCGAGGCTGAGAGCTAAGACAGATAGAAACGTAGCTACAGCCCCTGCAGTAAACGGCAGATATTCCACAATTGATAACAGAGCTCCCTTCTTTAGGATGATCCAGATCTCCTTCCTAAAGAACATAAACAGGAATTCTCTTCTACTGGCACCTCATAGTGTAAATCAGTTATCGAAAGTGAACGCATACTAAACCATGGTAGCTAAACTAAAGCATCAATCTTATTTTTCATGACAATAAATTCAAAGCCATGAAAATTAAATCTGGTGGTGTTTTGGTTTGGTAATTCCATTACTCAGTTGAATGACTGGTCAGTCTGACGATTAGTAAGGCAGAAGGTCGATCAGATGCACATGTATTTTAATGATAAGCGAACTTTATTCTTGTTCTTTTAGAAGGAAGGACATCTTCCCTTCTTTGAGGAATATACCAAACCAATCATTACTTATTTGTAATTTTCACAGTGCTATTATTTTACATTATATTCTTTTTGCGTCCTAATGCAATTTCGCGGAATGTCCTCACCTACCTTCTTACTTCTTGAATCCTATCCTTATGGCTGTTCTCCAAGGCGTTAGCCTTAAGTGCGCGAATGCCTGATATCAGTTCAATCATCATTGATATGCGATGATCGGACACGGTGGCTGTTTCCTGCCGCAGCTGAGCACACAGGGATGAGATAATCATGACAAATGGAATCACCGCCACAAGGTAGAAAACTCCCATTATTGCTTCCCAACTGATGAGGTAAAACAATAAGGAAATCACAGCTGCGATTTCGAGTATTGTGAAGGTTGAAAGGAATATCCATCTGGGCGCCAATTCAATTCTTTCAACGTCAGTTGAAATTAAGTCGATAACATTTCCACTTGTCACTTTTCGAAGCGTCTGTTTACTGACCAACGGTATCTGAAAAGGATGATCACTTCCTGTTAGAAGTTGAGATGGATCGCGAGAAAGACAGGAAGACAAACAGACAAATATCTGCCGCTTAACTGATTGACCAATTGACTAATCGACTAACCGACTGATTGACTGATTCAATAACCAAAGAAATGCATAAATAGATGGGTTAACGTCTCACCGACTAATTACAAGCTTCGTTTGCTGTCTAAATGACTAACCTTAAGGTATATAAGACCCTTAATAGCACTGCTGAGTCGCATTCCTAGAAGTTCTAACTGGTACCCAGTATAGTGAATACAGGCGGTAGATGAGCCGCTTAATGCTAGCAGGAAACAGCATCCATAGGCTAAAGAGTAGTCTCTCTCAGAGGAACGGAGCAAATGAAGGAGCAAACCGAGGAATAATGGCTGTAAAACACGACATATTGACTCCAAGAGCACAAAACATGTCAGGAAGGAAATCTTCCTTAAAGACGTGGTCCTGACGATGCACTTCCAGAGGCTGGGTTGTATTTTACATTCTTTATTCTTGTTGAGTTCATTTACGTGTTTGTTCCATTCCTTCTGAAGGCTCTCTGTCAGATCTCTGGCCTTGTCTTCTTCGTGAAGAGGCAGTATGTCAGAGTGTGCCAAGGGTCTCTCGTTCCCCATTCTAAATATGCCGTTCATCCACCAAAAGGATAATAATGATAACCAACTTGCAGATGTTGCAGGATGGACAGAGCTTGTGGTATCCACATCACTTGACAGTCTTTTGTAGGTAGCTTTTTCCAACATCCTGAAATTTAATAGCTAAATAAGACAACGAGAAGCATTAGATACATGAGGTATAGAGTAGCACGAAGACACAGCCTGATGCATCGATTATCAGTTTAATAACAAGGTTGCTACTTAAATGAATTATGAGGTAACGCTACCGATTTCCTTTTTTACTTCGAATGGATCTGAAAACGAAAACAAAACGGAAAGCATTGATAGATGTGCTTGATAAATTTGCCTATCCTGGCTGATACCCTTCCGAACATTTTAATAATAGATTCGCCTCTCCTTAACTGTTTTTCTTCTAAGTTTGACAATTGTTGCTGCACGAAAGTGAACCTCTGTAATAGAAATACTTTGCAGAATAGAACTTTCTTGCGGATATGTTCTATTACCTAGCTTCCTCTCGATGGCCTTAGAAATTTCCGGCTTTTAACTTTGGTAGATCTCCGAGACCTCACCCTTAAAATGTCAAGCTAAGTGACTTTTTTTATTATTTCTTTACGAAACTTTAAGCAATATTTACCTGTTTGTGCTGTCTTCGGAATATCGATTTGCTCTCACAGAGCGAGAGTGTTGCGCTCTTGGATAATTATATCACATAGCTTAAACACTTCAAGCAATTAATATTTAACTGTTGAAAAAAAAAAAAAGGTTTAATTTCGCTTCCAAGCAACAGCTTTAGTGAAGGTCATGAAATTGGTAAACAGCTATTCGAACAGATCGGATGGAATCATTCTCGGAAAAAAAAAAAAAAAAAAAAAAAAAAGATTACCCTTCTAGCGGTCAAATTCTTTCCTTATAACCATGAGTCTTAATTAAAAAGAAAAGAGTTTGAACTCTGCCCTAAGGTTCTGGGAACAATAACCATGACATGCTATGAAGCTTTTAGCAAGTAATGCAGGTTAAAAACAATGTCATGGTCGTGAAAGACCTCTCTAGGTCTGCCATGCCTCCACAGAGGTCTGTGGGTCATCCATCGAAAATAAATCGATATTGTGCCATCGATAGTAAATTTCTATGATGCAATCGTTAATAACACCAAACACATAGAAAACAAATGACATGCATAACAAAGCAATTAGATTTAAGGCAAATAAGGATTAAATCTGTATTATTTTTATTCAATGTTTCAGTATTGGATGGCACAATGCTTCACAAAAAATATTAATAAGTTAAATCGAATTTGCTTTTTTTAGACTCTGCTAACTTACTCATTTCATATTAAAACACGTCCATTTACCCACAAACAGAAATTAATTATGATTTTATGAATAAAAATGAGACATACAATATTGTTTATACAATAAAATTTCAGTTTTAAGGCAAAAGTCAGTAAAAAATATATGATTGGCGAAGTTAAGGCTTATCTGTTAATATGGAGGTGAAGAGTAAAATAATGAATTGTTTGAATTTGACAAACAACCTTGCCGGTGTTCTTATAATTTTAAAGAGAAAAAAAAGGCATGATGATCATGAAAAACACTATGAGTGAGGTTACTTGTAAACGATATCGCTAGATTCACATTGTCATATCAGCTTAAAAAAATACATTAAAAATAAAATAAATAAAAGAAGCAACGGGCCTGTCATTAAAATAGAGTCTATGTCCAATACGATGGGAAATATTTCGAGTAAAATCTCTTGAAATAGATTAACAGTCCTTGATAAAAGCATGTTGTACGAAAAAGAAAGGCTCTCTTTACTTCATAACAGTCTAGTGTCCTTTACACCTACTCACATTTGGAAAAATATTTACCCGGGAGGTGTGTTTTAGTAGCAGCCCAATGTGATTTAAGCCTTAGGTGAGCAGCCTCAATGTGATCTAAGATTTAAGTAAGCAGCCCTAATGTCATCTAAGCCAGATAGCTTCTAAAAAAGGGTAAACGAGGAATGACAACTTCTTCCTTACATTCACCACTCTACTATGAAAGAGAGGTTTCCTTTTTCAGTATCATAGTTTCTTTCTTCTTCTGTTTACCATTTTGTAAATGAAACATTTACCACAGAGCACCATACGCTATTTTAAAATTGAAATGAGATGCCACCGGTGGCAGATTGTAACGAGGCAACCGAAATATTACATTAAACCTCAAAATAGTCATAATGGTGATGGCACTAAATGTGTGGAGATAAATATCTTTTGAAATCCAGAATGTGAATTGAAATTGCTCGATTTGTGTCATTTATTTAGAATAAAGTTGGATTTCTTTAAGCGACAACCAGATGCTTTATAACTACTCGTATTTACTCTACATTTCAAAGCTGTTATTCTCATTTTGAACAATGTTTACGCTACCGGCATAAAAAGAAAAAAATGGTTCTCGACACGTTTTGTATTGAGAGCATTTCGTTGGCAGCGTAGATATCACAAGTTTATCCTGGTAAAGGAGACTGAAAAAGTGTGTTTTATCCGACAAAGAAAATGTCTTTCTTTGATTGATCTCAAAGCTAATAACGTTAAAATTGTTAGAAGTAAAAATAATATTTGCCAACCTTGGCTTTAATCTCCTCAAATTTGCAATATGCAACTGTTTTCTTTGAGTTATGTTCTTTGTGATTTGACACTTTTAGGCTCCACAACTTAGCCATGATGTTAATAACATATTTTTAAAACGTCTAAGGTCAAGCGTGAACAAACAAGTGTTCCTGAATTCCCACTATATAAGTTATTAGCTAAAATGTGATAAAATGTAAGAAACTAATCATATCAGCGGCAAGAAGAGCAGTCGAAATAGGAGTAGCTATTTGGTGATGTGGAGTTTAGTTGCCATTTATTTATGGTTTATAGCTCTGCTTTTACCTTAATGACTCATCAGATTACCCTCTTAAATCTTCAGGGTATCCACTGATTTCTAAAGTTAGAGAAAGAAAATTTACAAGCTAGAACTCAATCATAATACTACACCGATAACACTTTTAGCAATATCTACCTTATGAAAGGATGAGACGGGTACTCTGCTGTAACTTGGGAATATTACCCGGCTACTAAACAATTGGTTCATACGGCGGCGCGCGTTCATCGAGATGTGAAGCACTTGGGAAGTTTGGAGAGCACAAAAGATGCGTAAGAGTTGCTCGAGGCGTAGCCAAGAGCAACTCTAGCTTCTTGAGTGCTCTCCAAACTTCCCAAGTGCTTCATATCTCGATGAACGCACAATTGACGTATGAACCAATTGTTTTATAACATTTTCAACCCGATGGCTTAAATGTTATGAAAGGGCTAATTTTCTCTCTGCTACACTTCAGCGCGTTCATAATTTTGTTTCAGGAAAACATTTCGCTACGTTGTAAACGATCTTGTCTTAGATTGGTCAAAAAAACTGACAGGTGATTCATACGTGTAAATGAACTTTATTTTCTGATTGAATACAAAATTCTGTTATCCAAAAGAAACACAAAGATGGTGTTTCATTGGCTAATTTACAACAGGCCACATCCTAGCCCCGTGTGACAGAAAGTTGGACACAAATCTGGGAAAGCATCGCAAGGTTCAACCAAAGAATATTTCAAATATACTTTTATGGTATAAAAGCTGGCTCGCAACTTTCCATGTTTAGCTTAAATTGCCACCGAAACCTTTTTTTTTTTTAATAGTAAAATCCCAAAGTAAAAAATCGCTAAGAAAATATTTTTTTAAATTTCATTAGTCAAATTTACTAGCTATGTCACAATACAATTTATAACATAGCTTGTAAATTTGTCCACTCAAATTCAATTGCGCGAGCGTGCTTCATATTCCTATTGTGCACGCTCAGCAAACAAATCCCTCGAGAAAAAAAATTTCCATCGGGTTGAAAATGTTATAAAACAATTGGTTCATACGTCATCTATGCGTTCATCGAGATATGAAGCACTTGGGAGGTTTGGAGAGCATTCAAGAAGCTAGAGTTGCTCTCGGCTACGCCTCGAGCAACTGTTATGCATCTTTCGTGCTCTCGAAACTTCCCGCGTGCTTCATATCTTGATGAACGCACGCTGACGTATGAACCAATTGTTAAATGACTGATAATCGTTTAACATAGCTTACTGGGCAAAATTTTATAATTATTTACTTTTTGTGCAAGCTTTGTCAGGCTGCTAAATGTCGATTTTTATTAACAGTTTCTGTAGAGGTTATAAAATCGGTTTTGCACCAAAAGAAAGTACTAGTACCCCTTGATTAGCATCAATTCAACGAAATCAGTTGGTATCCTTAAAAAAAACGAAGATGCCTCATGGTGTTAGGAAAAAAGGGGGATAGCAAAAAAAACTTATTATGTTTTCTTGTAATTGTTTTGGTATGTTTGAGCATAAAATATTTTAATGTGACATGAAAGGAAGAGGAAAAAAGTAAGGTGAAACACGAAGCTGTACCCTGACCAGAAACGACCTTTCATGGCTTGTCATGACGCAACAGAGGCATACGAGTTATCTTTGAGTGATATGCTAATCCCATTAATTTTAAATCATAGCGAGGCGGTCGTTATTAAAACTAAACACAGGCTAAAAGCAATTAACCCGCACAATAAAGCAATTATATCCTTTTAAACACAAAATACAAATTGAAATTGAATTGCAGTGTTCTTTTAAACCGAGAAATGCCATGGATACAGGATAGATCCACAAAATTTTCCTTAGCTCTGGATTCTACTGCATCTAACAGATAATATTGGTAAGTTGATTGTAACCATTAGAACCAGTCAACATTACTCGAAACACGATTGTGTGTTTGTGTCTGTCTCCTATTTTGTTTTATGAACAAGGATGTTAAATGTCTTGCACGCGAAGTTCGCGTGATTAAGAGTAACTAAAGAGATGTTCTTAGTGTCAAGGTGTTAATGCGTTCAAAGGAAAGGAAATTTTTAATGAAATCGCGCAAAAACCGTGAGTCTTGACAAAATTGCGGTTTTTTGTTTTATGAACGAGGATGTTCACGCGAACTTCGCGTGATTAAGAGTAACTAAAGAGATGTTTTAAGTGTCAAGGTGTTAATGCGTTCAAAGGAAAGGAAATTTTGAATGAAATCGCACAAAAAGCGTGAGTCTTGACAAAATCGCGGTCGGCCTGGTAGATGTTTATGTGCTACCGTTCATACACGTATAAGATAAAGGGAAATGAAATGATACCAAAACAAGTAAAACATGTTTTATGGGTATCCCTCATACATCGGCAAACGTGTGCTACATATTCAATTTTTCAAACATCGTCTGATGGGAGCTGCGGGAGGTTTTAATTGCGCTATGGCTTTGAAAACTTTCATATCTTATCATAGATGTCCACCATAAATTTACGATTCAGTAACTCCGACTTTTATCCATCTTATTTTTTTTATTTTATATATATAGGGAGTCTGTGTAATGATTTTTCTGTTTTACAGTGCTCGATACGTAGGAATAGGAGCAGAGCGCGATATATGTTGTGATAGGGGAAAAAACAGAGACACCATACTTTCATCCCTACAAGCCTGTTTCGTGATTACTCGCTCATCAGGGGATTTTATTGTTAAGAATATTCGTACTATCGTTTCTATATTTTACAAATTTGCATAGTAGGCGTGGCGGTAAAGTACGATGCTATATATATACTTATATTTCTATTAACTGTTCAGGACAGTGACCTAATCCCCCACATGGAGGGACAAGGAATAAGTGGAACAACCTTGGCAGCTGTGGCGTTTGAAGCTTCGGCGAGCTATGAACAAATTAGACCCACCTACCCATTGGAAACTGTACGGTTCCTGTTGAAAAAACTCGGAATTCTAGAACACAACAAGATTGAAAATTATACCTTTACCAGAAATCTTCCGCTTACTGTTCTTGAATTAGGATCCGGCACAGGCAAGTTCACTCGAGTTATGTTTGAAATCTTAAGAGGCACCGGGACTCAAATAATCGCCAGTGATCCCACAGCTACAATGATACAGCAGTTCCAAAGAGTTTTACCCCGCATTGAAATTCTGCAGTGTCGTGCTGAGAATATTGGTAAGTCAGGTTTAATTCACTTTTGCGTCACCCTGTGAAATAGTTACAGCTGTTAATAATGCAGCAGAAGTAATCTTTAATAATATTACGACAAAGTTAGCAAAGTGGAAAAAAAATGAAAGAAAATAGAAAAGTGAGAAATTAATGAATGACAAATGGCCATGAATTGGGCGTGAGTAAAGAGGCTATTTCATTATCATTATTATTATTATTATTGATAAATCCATTATTTTTTTACTGAAACGCTGTCATAAAAACATGTTTTCAAGAGAAGCTTAAGGGAAAACTAAATAAAATGCAGCTCCGATCGCGACGAGTTAGTCTTGCACTAAAATTAAGTTTCCTTTCTCATTCTCCAGCTTCGGGATAACTTTGGAATGGTCTTTCAAGCTGCTATTTTGTGCTTGAATTTTTCGCATTTTGAAATTCCATTATATCTCTTTTGTCGATATAGCTCTCCCAGACTCGAGTGTTGATGCAATTGTAGCAGCGCATTGTTTTCACTGGTTCGCAAACGAAGAGGCTGTGAGAGATATTTGCAGAGTTCTAGTGCCTGGTGGTTCTCTGGGAATGATTTGGATCCTTCCTGATGAATCGGTGCCTTGGGTTAAAGAGTTGTTGACATTTTTTCGCCCGTTGGAAAACGGTTTCGAGCACACAACCTCAGAAGAAACCATGAATAAGATATTTCAAGTGGTCGGAAAACTGTTCACTGTCCAAAAGGATTCGACAACGAGGAAACACTGGCAGCTTACTTACGATGAATGTTACAATACCCTGGCTTCTAAAGGTATTTTGCAAAGCAGCCCTGATGAGGTCAAAGATGGATTCAAGGTTTGGTTTGATAAAGTCATGCGCAAGCATTTTCCTGATATCAAAGAAAACGACCGAATCCCTTGTCCGTCGGTCACGTTGATCTGTTGGTGCAAGAAAAAGGAAATGATGCAAAATTTAGAATGAACCTCCTGGTTCCTCTCTTATTTGCTTGATGCTTGCGAACTTTTTTATATGACCTCTAGCTCACTCGTATTAAAAGGTTTAATTAAGTCATTTAGTCACCAAGTCCACGCCCTAAGGTCTTTCTTGTACTTTCCTAAAATGCTTTCGCGCACGAGGCATAACTTGTCACGACTCATAACGAGTTCAGATTTGGGGCCGTTGTATTGATTTTTGGAACTTGGTCCCACTTTCGAGTTAGATTTAGTCATCCGAAATTAAAGTGTATACCTATATCCATGCCATGATTGTCACACCCATTAAAATTGGCCGTATTACCTCATCATCACAGTCGAATCTCCAACTATCACTTGGTTTCATTGTTGAGAGGGAGGGTGTGGAGGGATTCATTGACCTAACTATTCGAGAAAGATTCCGGACACAGAGAACTTCAGTGGTAAACACGGTTTGTACAAATATAAAGGATATTTACGCAAATATTGGCAAAATAAGGTATTTTGTCATGGTATCAATTTTCTATCACTAGAATTAATTCCCATTTGATTTGAATATTGTTTTGTCATTATCGTCGCTATTTTCATTATCATTGTCGTTATAATTATTGTTGTCATTATCATTATGGTTATCATTACTTCAACGACCTTTTCCAGATGATTTTCCTCGACACTTCCTATATCCTACTTTGCCTTTTCCTCGAAAATAGTAATAAAAAAGGAGTTAAATGGTGAGGATGTTGTGACTTTCAACAACAATATGAAAAATACAGCATCATTCATGAATGAGCTTAGATGTTCCGCATACTGTTGTTATCTGTTAGGCGAATTGTCTCCTTTTTCTTTATATGTGCATTCTTGTTTCCATTTTGCTTGAGTATACTCATACAGTTAACAGCTTCCTCGTGAATATCAATGGATTCATTGTATACATTGATCAAATCAACCGTATCAACATCTCTAACATACTGGTCCACATCAAAGTTGTCATAATCACGAAAATAAAATGCTCTCCTATACCTTGACATTTGTTGATCAAGCACTGGTAATAGAATGATCTGAGACATCAACCAGCGCAATGCCGACATTCACACTCAAATTAGAATTTGCGTAAATGTGGTCAGTCAGAGTAGAAGTGTGATGGGCGAACCCGGCTGGTTTTGTTATTAAAGGTAGTAGATTGTTAGAATAGAGCATATTTAGGTACTCTTCAGATAATAAATGCTCATTATATTCCAGGAGATCTATATTAAGATTCCCAAGAATGTGTATCTCATACTGAATTGCCTCTTAAAACAAAGTTTCAAATTCAAAAGTAAAAGCAGGTAAATTATAAGTAGGATGGCGGAAAAAGGAACCAACAATTATATTAGGTCTCCCATTCCCTGACGTTATTTCTCACCAGAATGATTCGTTCAATGGTATAGTAAACTTCAAATCAGGTCCATGAATGACATTAGGATTTTTCGAGACATATAGCCCAGAACCGCTAGTCTGTTTTGGTGGGTTGGTGTGGAAGAAATCATAGTTGAGGATATCAACATTTTTTACTGTCCTGTTTGATAGTCTCGTTTCAGTAATAGCTAAGATATAAGGCTTGCGGTTGACAGAATGTAAAAACTCGTTCAATAAAGACAAATGCTTTGGAAGACTTCTGATATTACAATGAAACATAGAGAGACACTTTGAAGTGGTATTATCTAAGAGTTGATTCAGCTGAGTTAGGAAATAATAATTGGAACGTGGACAATTAAGGATGTTATCAGAATCAATGTCATACCACCAGTTACCAATCACTGCTAATTTTTTTTTTAAATTTAATTTTAACCTGGAGAGCAGCACACAGCAGCAGATCTTTATTTTCAGGCGCAGCTTTATCCTGCCTTATTCCTTGGAGTTAAGAGCTTGTATAATAGTTATAATGAGGGATTAAATTCAACCCTGATAAAAATCACTCCAAACTGTTTACGTATCCCCAGCCTCGCGACTAACTCAAGCCTTTAGTTCAATTTCATTTCTATTTTATCACCTACAAGTATGGACTGAAGATTTCTTATCTTGTTTTCCGATCAAGTATCACAATATTTAGTCATATATGACTTTTGTGGTTTTTGGAAACCTAGCATTATTTTCTTTCATTCATGTTGTATTGTATATTTGTTGTTTGACAAATGAATGCCACTAAAGGTTGAAACCGCTGGAAAGTAGTGATAAAGCGGATTTAGTCAACTGTGATGTGGATTGTGTAGCTTACCGTTTGCAGCAGATAAATAAATCAATAAATAAATAAAATGAAATAAAAAAAGAGAAGAAGGATGTCAATTGAACCAAAAAAGTTTATTTAACGCTTTTCAAGCTACAATTTCATCTATGACTTTAAAGCAACTTTCTTAATCTTGCATGAGTCTTGGTCCAGTCTAATCATTCTCGCCAAACCTGAAATAGAGAAAACAAAGTGAGAGAGAGTCCTTTATAAAGTTACTTAAGTGAGTAATGGGGCCAGCTGGGACAAGCGTACTTATCTTTGGCATGTTACAAGTAGTAGAGAGAACTCAACAAGGACCAGTACATGCATTTCTTGTTTAAAACATGCCCTCAATTTTCTACGCGATTACAAGCTTGTAACAATCCTTAATCGATATTTGTGAAAGACTCACCATTCTAACGACCGTAGGGGTAGTATGGGTAGCGGTAGCTGTAGCGGTAGCCGTAACCCTTTCCTTTTTTTGGGTAGTAACCCTTTCGGGAACGATATTTCCGGTAGGCTTTACGGTAGCTTTTCTTAGGTTTTTTTCGGTACTTGCGGTAGCCTTTTCCTTTCCAATACAAATAACCTTAGAATAATTACGAAAAAAATATATTTTAGACCATTAATATCAAACGATGGATTATCGAACATAAAAATCTCAGAATCAGACAAAGGACCCATTCATTAACATTTCTCTCCATATTTTACAAGATAATTGTCTGATATTATAGTTATATCTTAGCAAGACGGAAACAATAGCCTCTACTTGGCGTAAAAATATACAGGAATGTTTATCCTCGGACATTCTCTGTTCCAAGATGCGAACAGTTTCCGAGAGCGAAGCTCGTGGAAACCTGAGAGCTTAGAGGAACAGATAATGTCCAAGGACAAACATACGAGTATATTTTTTGCGTAAAATATAGGTTTTGTAACTATTATCCTTCAAACATTTGGTAGCGCGCGCCGAATGTTTCTTTTGAGCGTTCTCCACTACGATTTTATGAACAAACAGATAATTCCCATTTTCTGCTATATCTTCTTGAATTAAAAGCTATCGGTTGCGTGATATCCTTGACTATGCTCAGTTTTAGCAGGGGATATTCGGCCACTTGACCGAATATCAATTGTGAGGGAGCAAGAACGTTTCATGGATCATAAGTCAAAATATAAGATCAAGAAATGTTGAATAACTTTACCATATTTCTTTTTTGACTTTCTTGGCACCGGCCTTGGATCCTCAGAAACTTCATCTTCACCTGATGGAACAAAAATCATAACATCTGGTTAGAAAGTGCTTTTCTCACAGTTTACTTCATTGATAATTGTGTCATCGTGTCCCACGTAATTGATCTTTTTTTTCCAAAGAAGTAAATCACCCGGTAATCCTTATGATAAGACAAATTCAGACATTATATGGATCTTGTTGGTATAATCAGCGTAGTGAGCAATATTCTTTTCTTTGATTCTTATGTGGGATTAAAATAAAAACCTCGCAAGATTTGAGCTTTTGTTCCTTCCCATACTACATTTCATGCTAACTTTCAACTGTTGTCAACCAAAACCTGCTAAAAGAACTTGCTCGATGCAGAAAATGATCATTAAAATCATCCCTGTTTATCCTAAACTGTTCTTTCACGAGTTTCTTCCCAATGAGAAGAAAAATTCCAAACTCTCGTCATTGACATTATAACTTGAATCTCATCTCCGAAGTGGAGACAGAACTCGGTTAGCAGAATCAACACTTGCCTGTCTCTTCGTCTTCATCGTTCATTTCTTCTAATTCCTTAGTATCCTTCTCGTTTTCTTCATCCCTTAATTCGTCAAATGCTTCGTCTTCATTTTCCGGCTCCTCATCATACTCCCCGTCAAATTTATCAGAGGCAGTCTCGAAGTCTTCGTCATTCAGATCTTCTTGGGCTATTTTAGGGAGAAAAAGAAGGCAAAAAAAACTGATTATAGGTGAAAATCAAAGTAGAGTACGCTGGTTTTCATTTGAAAATAACCAGACCGGTAATTAAATGGAGAGAGTCGCGGCACTTTCTAGGAGACTTAGAGTTGCTTTCTTATCCACATTCGTGAGAACTGTATTGAAGATAATTCCTATGAGTATTCTTTTCTTTTCTGGGAAAACTTTTTTAAAATCAGGCTTCAAAAAGTAACTAAGTAGCTTCTTAAAGTGACCTGTATCCTCGGTGAGAGGAGCATCTAGGGAAGGAAAAAAAGAGTACTTAATAAAAGTAACGCCATTGGACTAATGGAAAAAGGAATGGTCTGACAAAAATAATCATGCTCTCGTAATTTTGATCCAATACCTTCCCGCTTTTCCGCTAGGTAAGAGGCTGTACAGGCTCCTAAAAGGAAACAGCTGATCAACAAAAGTTTCATCTGCATGGCTGAAGCCGTTTTGACTCCGGGCAGAGAATGGCTCTGGTGACATCCTCATCGGTCCATTTATGGGTTTCATACAGGTGCCAATACTATAGAAGAATAACTCAATACATTACATTGCCTGCTTTGCACGTAATTTATTAGGGGAGGATTAAAAATAGGCAAATTAAAGTAATATTATATGGTGCAATGGATGACAAGACAAAGGCATTGAGGTGTCGGAAATATGATTCTTCAAGCACTCTTAATATTCTAAGGCTAAAAATAGAGAGGTTGAGCTTGAAGTTAATGCGCACGGCAGACAATAAACTGCATCAAGAACAATTCTACGGAACAACACTATGTAACAGAAGCCTTGGGGATCTGAATAATGT